TTTAAGACTTGTGGACTTTAACTCCCAGAATTCCTCAGCCAGCAAAGCTGGCTGAGGAATTCTGGGAGTTGAAGTCCACAAGTCTTAAAGTTGCCAAGGTTGGACACCCCTGCTATAAGGGAAGCAAATATCTAGAATATCACAACAAGAGCCTATAGTGGAAATTTCGCCCGATTTTGTGGCTGCGACAAGAAGCTAAAAAATTATATTTGCCACCTAGATATACTTTTGTAATCTTCCTGTTAAAGATTTCAAACTTTGCATTCTCTGTTTGGTATTGTACCCCTGTGTTTTCCATTTTTTTACCGAAACGTGACGTGAACGTGTCATACGACCATGACATAAAATTACAGGGAGTCCTCGCTTAACGAGGCTAACTGAGATCGGGAACTCCGTCGTTAAGCAACAGGGTCATCATCCTCTTTGAACGGCCCCGTAATCCCTTGCGGGGTGGAGTCTGGGCGACTGAATGAAAGGGAGTGTTTTTACTGGCCGGAGGCTCTTCCTGTTGCTGATGAGGAGTTTTGTGCAGCAGATAATATTCTCATTATGCCCAGAGAAAGAAATATCTGCCCCTACCTAGGATTGAACTCACAGCCTCGTGGTTGTGAGGCAAGAGCTCCATCTCTAGGCCACCGCACCGTTAAGCGACACAGTGTTAAGTCGGGGGAAAAAAACCACAGGGCCGCTCCGCTGAACAACCGCAATTCCAGCCCTCCCAGGTTGTCGTTAAGCGAGATGCGTATGGGACTTGACAAAACTGCCGTTTTTCGACTTCCCCCATGGGAATTTACTTGTGGGAAGCCAGCGGGGGAGACCTCACAACCACAATCGCACAAACACAGGGATCCTGCAATGGGCCAGCGCTTAGAGGAATGGTTCTTAACGTCCCCATTTATTCAGTCCCCGTCGTAAGCCCGAACAGTCAAGCGATGGATAATACAGCTTTTGGTTGGCTTTGCTTTTGTGCCCGGTGTGTGTGTGTGTATGTGAACCGAGCTCATCGTGGTTTACACACAACAAACCGAGTTTGAGGATTTCGATGAAACAGCCACCCACCCTTCGACTTTCACTTCCTTGTTTTTGCAGGGCGAATTCGGCGTCTACCTGGTCTCTGACGGGACCAGCCGTCCGTATCGGTGCAAGATTAAAGCACCTGGCTTTGCACACTTGGTAAGAGAGAAATAATAATATCTCCATGAGGGTCAGGAGGGAAAGGCAGGTAGTCCTTGACTTACGACCAGAGTGGAGTCCGGCTTTTCTGTCGATGAGTGAGAGAAACAATGAAGTGAGGTTCACTTGCAAGCGTCCAAATTACGATCAATGATGACCACGGGCAGGCCGCGACGGTCGTTAAGTGTGAAAAGACAGTCCCAAGTCACTTTTTTTTCCAGCGCCGTTGTGACCCCGAAATGTCACTAAACGGAATGGTCGTAAGTGTCACTAAATGGTCGTAAATGTCACTAAACGGAATGGTCGTGGATAACCTGCACGCAGGAAAGGAGTGTAAGTGGGGGCTGGAGGATATTTTTGTGAGTTTATTGTTCCTTCTGGCCTCGGAGCAGCCGTCTCCTTAAGCTCAAGGATGCTCTTTTCCAACATCCTTTTCCCCTAAGTCAGAGGTCTCCAAACTTGGCCACTTTAAGGCTTGTGTTCTGACCGAGGCTTATGGAGACACTAACAAACACACGTTAGTCCCCAAAACCCCCTTTTTTTCTTTATTTCAACGGCTGTGAATTTTAGTCATTCCCAGCCCGTAATGAGTCTGAAACAGTTTGTAAATAGTCCCACGGAAATCAGCCAAAGTCCTTCGGGATAAGTCTGATCAGCACACACCTTTATCTCCCTCGAAACGCTGCCAACAACTAAATTGCCAAATTAGTTGTTACGAGGCCAAAATGGAGCACAAATTCAACACGGAGCTTCAGGTTTCAAACCAACCAGTAGGAACAAAGTTGCTTCCTGCAAAGGTTCCTGTCCCTTTGCTCCTCCTTGATGTTTTATGGGAGGGCCGATCACCTCCAAGCCTTACTCCCGAGTCGCCCCTTTTGTCTTAACTGTTCTTGCCTTCGGGCAGCTCTGTGCATGCACACACTGGGAACAGGCTCCCGCTATTCCTCTGCCTCGCTGCTGTCAGATTCTGGAGGCTCCGGAGCTGGCGCGTAACTCCCCGATGGCCCTGGCCCCATCTCCGTATTGGATGCAGAACCCTCGTCCGAGTCCTCCATGGACTCCCGGACTGGCCCATGTTCCTCCCCACTGTCCGACTCTGCTGCTATCTCTGCCAGGCTGCCGATGGACCACAACAACTTGTGGTCTTCAATTCCCAGAATTCTGGGAGTTGAAGTCCCCAAGTCTTAAAGTGGCCAAGTTTGGTGGACCCCTGCGCTAAATCTTCCTCCTCCCTTTTTTGCAGGCCTCTTTGGATAAAATGTCCAAGGGACACATGCTTGCTGATGTGGTAGCCATCATTGGTAAGTATCTATGTTCCTTGGGGGAGAACTAATTTAATTCAGTTTATTTTAATTTGGCACCCGCTGACTTCAGAGGGGGCTGGGCAGCTCACAACAGACCCAAAAGAATAAAAATTAAGAGTTTCAGAGCGAACGCCCCCCCCACAAATTCAGCCTTGCACTAACCATAATTTACTTCGCCGTGGATGCGCAAAGTACACCAGGCTGTTTTCTTAAACCAGGGTTACAAAACCTTAATGGAGTATTGCTTGGGCACTTCGAGAGGGGTGGACTACAACTCCCAGAATCCCCAAGCCAGCACGGAGTAACTTAAACCACACTACAAAATCAGCCACGGGATGCAAAAGGGAGCCACGTTTTCTTCCCTGAATCCTGGATGGAGGGGACCGCTGACCCTCTTAATTCCTGTTCTCCCTCCCCACCTGCCATGCCAGCCAGGGATGATGGGGATCGGAACTCCTAACCCACAGCTGCTTCCCAACTCCGGAGATGTTGTGAAACGTAGTTTATTCCGTGTCTTTTCTTCTTCAGGCACCCAGGATATCGTCTTTGGCGAAGTGGACAGATAGATCAACGTCCGTTCCGGGGGGAGGGAGGGGGGGAGACGGGATAGGAACCCACTCCTCACTCTGGATGCCGTCTGCCCCCCACCAGGAATCTTCACTCAGCGTCCTACTACTGTTTGTTGCGTGTAACTATATTTGTTTGTAATACAACGCTGGGACACCAGGCCAGGATGAGCAAACAGAATAATAAAACTGATCTCTCAAAATATAAATGTGTTTGTCCACAAGCAATTTTTGTCCAATTTCTGCCTCCCCCCCCTCCCTCTATGTTTTCATCCTTGGCTCCTCCTGACTCCCCCCTTCTTTCCATCCACATTTCCAAATTTTCCCCAACAATCCTGGTTTGTGATTGGGTTCAGTCTCGGGCGTGGCTGAGCAAACCCGGAGAGGATTTCCCCTTAGAAAAAGGGATGTCTAACTTGATTTCAATTCCCAGAATTCCAGCTGAAGTCTTAAAAATGGCCAAATTTGGACCCCCCCCCCCGCCTTAAATCACTATTTTTCAGCCTTGCAAGTCTTAGTTCCCCCTTAATTTTCTGCAAAAGGGAAAGTGATATTTGTGGCAGGGTACCTCACGTTTGCACAAATCAAACGTTCAGCCCACAGAGCTTTTGAGGTATAACCATCATCATCATCATTGTTTAATGACCCCATAATCTCTTGCGGTGCGCAGTCTGGGCAATCGAATGGAGCTAGCAGAGTGTTTTACTGGCCGGATGCCTTTCCCTGTCCCCAGTACGGAGTTTTGTTCAAGCAGATAATATTCTCAGTGTTCCCAGAGAGCGAAAGATCTGCCTCTACCTAGGATCGAACTCACAGCCTCCTGATGGTGAGATGACAGCCCCCCCTCAAGGCCACCGCCCCACTCCAACTTTTGATATATAATGCAAGGGGTTTAATTGAAGTTGAGTCGTGCTTTGCCAAAATGTAATTCTCAACGCGAGATCTTTACGTACAGATAGTCGTCGACTTACCACAATTCATTTAGTGACCGTTCAAAGGTGCACCAGCACTGGAGAAAAAAAAAAGACTTAGGACCGCTTTTTTCGCACCGTGATCAAAATTTAGCCGCTTGCTGACTGGCTCCTCTTTATGACGGTCGCAACGTCATCTCCTTTTGAAATCCAGATTTCGTTTCACCACCGTGTCACTAACTTCACAATCCCCTTAACAACTGGTCTCGCTCAGCGGCTGAGACGCGGGGCTCCATTCGGTTGTGTGTTGAAGACTTGCCTGCACAGGGTCCCCCTGCTCGAGCCGGGCTAGTCTAGATGGCCTCCGAGATCCCTTCCTATTCTGTTAAAGGTCACGCAAGGTCAGACCGACCTCCATCCTCCAGAGATCCGATTCCCTGGCAGCCCTCTCCGTAAACCCTCTTGATCCCCCCGAGGCATGAGATCCCTGGATCCTTTTCCCCGGATTCTCCTGTTTGTCCCACCCCGAAAACGGTCTCGGTGTCTCCGGCCCCACGGTGGGAAAACGGAAGGTGAATTATTTCAGCTGATTGGCTGCCCGTCAACTTAAAAGAACCGAGAGAGAGAGAGAGTGTGTGTGTGTATACAACTCACTGCAGGAAGGCTTGTGGCTGTTGTGGTTGCGTCCATCCTGCTGAGCTCAGGGTGGTGGCGTTGAAGGCTCCAGCTCAGCCCCCGGACGGTGACCGAAGGGACGCAACTGGATTTTGACCGGCGCTCACCGCACGCTGCTCCTTCTCTGTCTTTTTCTGGACACGGGTCTCCCCCCAAAAATGCACTTTTGTGTCGTGGCCGTTCTGGTTTTCCTCTTGGTCGACGGAGCAGGTAAAGTCCAGCCGCTTGTATCTGTGTATCTTGTATCTGGGGGGTCAGGGAGAAAAAGAATTGAAAGGGTTTTGGGTGTGTGTGTGTGTGTGTCAGAACAACGCAACCCCTTCATCTCCAAGGAGAGAAGCAACGTGGAATTCAGGAGAAATTTCCTGAGAGTGACAACAATTCATCAGTGGAACAACTTGTCTCGAGTGTCGTGATTGCTCCAACACTGGGAATTTTTAAAAAGATGTTGGATAACCATTTGTCTGGTGTAGGGTTTCCTGCCTATGCAGGGGGTTGGACTAGAAGACCTCCAAGGTCCCTTCCAACACTCCTATTCCATTAAAGCGGTAAACTAGAGGTAAAACATGATTTAAGTTGGAGGTTAGCTGGAGATTCAGTCCCAGTTTTTATTCATTTATTCATTTGCTTATTTCTTTATCTTTTGCTTTTATTTTTTATTTATGTTATTTTGCTTACAAACGCAAAAAGCTTCCCAATGAAACCACATTGAAACCATCAGAATTTTTATTAGTCGTAGACCAGAACAAACAGTCGATGAACATGCAATTCCAAAAGTCTAGAATAAAATAATAACGGATAAAATCTATGATCAAATCCAGCCTGTCCATTGTGCCTAGTCTAACTACACTTAAAATCACAATCCAGAAACTCCGTGGCCCGTGGTCGGTTTATTGCTAAAAGGGGAAGTCATAAGCATTGGAACCATAGATACTCCGAGTAATAGCGATCCTTTTGCAATTAAAAAAGATGAGGAGAGCGGTGGGGTTTTTGCTTTAAATAAATAAATATTCCTCCTTCGCTTCTTAGGTCTTGGGAGGGACCCTTCTTCTCAACAACCCTGCGAGGGGGGCTCCCCCCAAGTTTTAAACCATCCCTTTTTTTAAAAAATAATAATAATAATAATAATCAAAGCTTCTTGAATCCAAAGGTTGTTAACTTATGGGCATCGTGTGTGTCCATCTGTGCTTTTAATGAAGGCAACACAGTCAAAAAATGGGATTTATTCAAACAAGTATGGTGGAACATGCCGTGGCAGTCTCTTTTTAAATCATGATTCATCGGTGAGTGATTCTTCCAGCAACGGAGGAATTGATTTAGGATAGCAGAGATGAAAAGCTGTTGTTGTTTTTTTTCAAGACCAGAAGCCACTCTTAGATTCTTAAAAGGATGACCCAGAGGGATATTCGAATAATATGCAAGAATCCCATTTGACATTGTGATTAAAGTGCTAGGCTAGAAACGAGGAGATGGGAATTCTAGCTGATGAGTTGAACTTAAAACTTGATTCATTTTTTATTTTGAAGAAGGTGTGTTTCCCCAAAGGAGCAAAGATTTTTTTTTTAAAGTCTAACTTTTTAAGGGTATAAAATCAATATTAACGTTTCAATGTCCGATGCCTTCGTGTTTTCATCCTGTAATGGCTGTCATTCTGTTGCTTAAGGAATTTCAAGCTGCATAGAGTCGTTTGCTAGAGAGATTTAATAATTTAATTTAATTTAAAAGTTAAAAATAATAATAAATAAGCAAAAATCATCATTTGGCTCTCAATGTGAGCAACTTTTTTTTGGAGTCGAGAGACAGTAAGTTTTTTTTTTTTTTCTCTTCCCTTTTATTGAACACGACGCTCACTTTTAAAGAGAGGTGAGTGAAAATAAAATTATTTGTTTCCCTGAGGTTAACTGAGGTTAAATATAGAATAATCCAAATATATACTACAATACTTTGCAGCTTGATCAGCCAGATGGATGTGAGTGGAAGCTGCTTGTGGGCAAGGAATTGAAACCTTGGTAAAAAAAAAAAGAAGAAGAAGAAGAAGTTTTCTTTTTAAAATGTTGATGAGTTCGCACACGTCTTCCAGTGCTGATCCATTTCAAAATCACAAAATCCCCAATTTTTACAATCCTTTCTATTTTCCCCTGATGGCTTTAGGTTTCACTTTTTATTCTTCTGTAGCTTTGCAGAATTCTTTCGTTGGCATTTTTGAGCATTTCATCAAGCAGTGTGTTGATATACTACGCCGAGCCTAACCATGGTTTGCGCTTCAGTGATGGGAGAGAAATTTATTTCTGGGAAAGGACCAAAAAAAAATTGTTTAGCCCGGGGAAAGTGAAAAGGATCAGAAAGCAACTCAAACCATCTCTTTCCCTGATCTTGTGGTCCTTCAGAAGGATTTGGAGATGCTTTCAAGATTTGGTTAATCTAGAATCCCACCAATGTCGGTTTGTTGACCTGGCATACCTTGGTTTGATTGGGTCACGCCAATCCTTTGCAAGTTGAGTTGCCAACATTGAACTCAACATGCCAAGCCACAAGTGACGCTTTGCAAAACTACCTGCTCACGTCCTGCTCACATCCTGAGTTCTAACCAGGCTGCATGATGGCTTAATCGAGGCTAGTGAATCCGAGCTTGCAAAACCTCAAGATGTGCTTCTGCATTTCTGTGGCGGATACTTAAGACTTTCACAAGGGGCAACTTCAGACGGTGCACCGTGGGAAAGAAAGAAACCCCGAAAGAGAGATTTGAAATCTTAACAGGAATATAATAATTGGGTAATTAAATTTACCCAAACCCCCCCCCCACACACACACACACAACAAATTGTACAGGTAAACCAAACTTAATTCTCCAACTTCAGCAGCTAAAGTCCTGTTGATCTGAAAAAGCTGAGCGTTGGGCACAGCTCGATTTTTGCATTCTAGACCACGTAGGTTTTCTGAACATGTAAAGAATGCTTCTTGTCTGTCATGTAGTCCTTTTTTTCCCAAGGCATCGGGGCTTGGGAATCTACTGCCAAACCGTGAAAATGTAAATGAAAAGAGAGCGTTTGGTCTCGTGATTAAGACAGCGGGCTAAGAAGCACAAGACCCTGAGTTCAAGTCCTAATTTAGCCATAAAAGAGTGATTTTGAGCCAATCACCAGGAGGTGGTGAGTTCTAGTCCTGCATTAGGCAGGAAAGCCAGTTGGGGGACTTTGAACCAATCACCAGGAGACGGTGAGTTCTAGTTCTGTTTAGCCATGAAAGCTGGCTGGGTGATTTTGGGCCAATCACCAGGTGATGGTGAGTTCTAGTCCTGCCTTAGGCATGAAAGCCAGCGTGGAACAAGTCCCTCTCTCAGCCCAACTCACCTCACAGGGTTGTTGTGGTAGGGAAAATAGGAAGAGGAAAGTGTGTTGGATATATTTGCTGCAGACTGCCTTGACTTCTTTGCAAAATTGATGAAGGCGGGATATGAATAAGTAACCATTTAAAAACAAACGAAGGACTGGAAAACTGAGTTTCTGGTAGCGAAAAAGCCTGAATTAAACAAAACAAAATTCAACTGGGCTTCACTAAGGCAGATGTGTGGGGAAAACATCTGCC